CTCCTAAAACTTTAAAACAATTAAATCTCTGCTTCTTTTTTTTACGCCAGTTTGGAATTTATTTGATAGTTCCACAGAAGAAAAAACAGGAGAAATGTGGAAAAGGGAGTTGATGACATGCAATGTAAGCCCCTGCCTGAATCAAAGCAGGGACATTGCAATTATAATGAAGTGTCTTACTCAGTGCATGTAAAAGATACACTGATGGACGTTACTACTGGACAATATGATGCTTTGACAACCCACGGAAGTGTTGCTCACATGCATAACCAAATACAAAAAATAAAAGTATTGAAAACTCGGAATTTAACTTTACATTATCATCTTGCACATCTTGAAATTAGCGTTAAAGGCAAAAGAAGTACTTGATCACACAAATTCAAACTGGAAGTAATAAGGAAAGCAACACTGAGGGACACAGACATAACAAGTAACAGGAATAACAAAATGCTTCAGGGAAAATTAGCTTATCATTATACAAAGAAAACAGATTTCACCAGCTCTACATACAAAATGAATCACAACATGAAACTACAGTCACTGTGTCACCAACCGGCTCAATCCACGTAGACAAGGCCGTGGCTTTTCTGAGGCGCAGGGCTGCGAGGGAAACAGGAAGTCGTGAACTCCAGCTCCATGGGAACATGAAGACTACAACCAGCTGGCAAGGAGTCATCCGTTTCTGAGGGAGGAGGATCCTGGGTATAAGAAAAGGGGATGGGTAAGTTGAGAAAGTGTAATGTTGTTTTTTGGAAAACAATATTTATTCACACTTTAAGAACGAGAGGTAAATGAAAATACAAAAGTGTATCGAGAAGAGGACACCAGACTTTTTCATATTCACTATTTTATTTATCGGAAAGGTTTTACTGAAGCACATACTGTCACTGAGCTTAATTCCAAACAAATTCTTCTATAAAAAGTTTGGAATCGTATTGTATATTACATTACATCCAATACACCTTCACATCTTTTGAGTCTCACACATGCAGTTTTTATCTTTTGGTTTCAGCTTTGCTTCAGTCAAAGTATTTGCAACAAGTCTTTTATATAAGTAGATGAAATAAACTATTTCCAACAATTGTATAAAAAGTTTTTCACACTTTAATCAAACACTGAATTCATACTCAGTTCAAGTGTTTAAGCCTGTAACAAAAACTGTTTCATATCTGGACTATTTAATTCATCTCACAGCCTTCACCTGCACAATCTTTAGTATGAATAGAGTTTATTAATTCATTTATTAGTGTTTATTAGCCTTTTTTCCATTACATTAAACATGACAGAGTGACTTTTTGCATGCAGGTTGGTAAATGACCCAAAGACCTTACTTCTTCAACTGGTAAAAGTTTGTGATGATCAGTTATCAAACTACATCATTGCAGCATTTCTCTTTTGGTGTGGTCAACCTTGTAACACCCGCTGATCCATGACCAGCCTTCCCTTCTCAGGGTTTCCACTTTTTCATGAAGATCCTTTTCCAGGAATTTTCCAGGACATTTTCAGAGATGATTAAACTGGTGAAACACACGAGGATCGAGCCGTACACTGTAATAAAAGGTATAATTCCTCTGTGTGGAAGTCTGATTTAAAAGATGTGCAGTTCAACTTAAACATAAAATCTTCTTTTCATTCTCATACTCACTTCCTCACATTCTGCCATTCACTCCTGTAATTAGACCTCATGTGTTATAAACATTTCAGTATTGTGACATGATCATTAGATGATTAGATGTAATGTTACTATGCGATTTTTTAAATTAATATATAATACCCGGCCCTTTTATTTATTCAGCTCCTTTGGAAAGTCCTTTGTGTTCTATGCTTGGGAAATGTAAATAAAATGAATCATTATTATAATAATACTTTAATAATTTATAACCTGAATCCTGTTTCTTATGAGTCATATTAACAATTGCTGTCTGAACGACAATGACACAATACAGTTCTGCCTACTGACAAGAATAGACTGAACTTTAATTACTAGCACAGACTCTAATCAGTTTATCAACACTGAATGGTTCGTGTTACCTAAATAATGCAGCGCTGCATTTGAACAATATTTACAAGAAAAAAGGGCTGATATCCTGCATTAAAAGACAATTAAGACCTGATTAAAAACCCTGATAAAAGCAACCAGTTAGCCGTGACTAATGTTTATATTTGAAGGATAATGGAACTCCTGCTGTATAGTCATCCAATCTCATTTTCATGTGTCCTCTTCGCCTGGGAAACAGTTTACAGTTTGTTAAAAACAGTTGCCTGTTTTTAGTGAGTCTCTGCAGCCCTCACTTGAAAGAATCACTGCAGCAAAAACTGCTGACAGAGTTTCTGTATTCCAACATGTATAACTGAAGATAACTGAAATGTTTATTAAATGTCTTCCTCAAGTGTCTCTTGTAAATATAAACCAAACTTTTGACGATCTATTCTTCATATTTCCATGAGGGACACGATATTAAAGATCATCTGAGTGCCGATAATGTTGCAGTGCTCTTATGCAGCATTAAGGATGCTGGTCACAGCCGGGCAAGCGGCCAGCTCGATCCCAAGCGCACAATCCTCACTTGCAGCTTGGCTTGCAGTGCCTGGCCTCCTGTCTGTAAATGTGTTAAACCTACTTTCACTCGCCCTGAATTTGTATAAATAATGTATATACATTTATCTGCAGACTCTAACAAGTGCAGCCTCAGGTGAAAATACTCATAAATGCATGCTATGTGCATCCCCGAAGGTGGACATCAACTCCAAACCGGCCAACTCAAAAGATAACCACACAGAGAGCAAGAAAAAAAGAGAAATGAATAACTTGCCAAAAGCAACACAAACACACATAATTCTCTCTCTCACACACACACACACACACACACAGACACAGTGCTGTCAGTTTCTAAACAAGTTTTCCCTTCCGTCCCACAAACAGCCCCGAGTTGTGTCTGCCATTGTTGAAGCTTTTAAACTCTGGAACCACATCACTCGTGTTTACTGAGATGTGTTTGTACGTTTCCCTGCATTGTCAAAGCACAGTCAAAGAAGAAGAGACTGGGGGCATGAGAAAGAAAAAAAAAGAAAAACTAAAGCTTTTGGAAGTGTTCCAAGATTGCAGGAAAAGGTGCAACTGAAAGATGGATCGGGAATCAGCGTGTTTGCTACTGAGTCCAGTTTCAGTCAGGCCCGGAGGCTTCAGAGGCCTGAGAAAACAGCAGTGTGAATGAAATGAACACCACCCAGCACGACATGGTGGATTAAACAGTATAGATAATCTACCGCACCAATCAGTGACTTCAATCTCTCAAAGCCTATTATCAAAAATATTATTTCTAATCAAACATGAATCAATTTTATGTTCAATAATGTTTTATTTATCTTTTTGTTTTACCTTAGATATCAAGATACCAATTTCAATATAGTGACAGTCTAAAATTATTTAGAAAGAAAAACACATAGATTTAAATTTGATTGAAGATTGAAAATAGCTCATTCATCTGTTCCTGTGATACAGCTGGTGGCGGCTCACACAAGAAGAACAGGGAGGCTAAAAAAGAAACAGCACAACTCTTCAGAGAGGCAATTAGCCAACTTTCTAATCACTTGCACCAAACAGCGACTGGGGGACCTGGTGTTTGGCAGCCTGATGGACAAACTTTAAAAATGTAAAGATCAAATTAATAGGCATGGCACTGTTAATGGGAGCACTCACTATTGTTATGCAAAAAGCTTCACTGTGGCATGCAAAACAAATACGCAAAGGTTTGGAGATGGAACGGTTCGAAGGCCGCTGCTGTTTCATTTCAAAACATGCATTATACATCATTGTGCATAAAGAGGAAGCCTACAGCATTATGAGGTTTTTTTTCCACGATGATTATCCTTTATTAGTCATTAAACGAGAGCGAGAGAGGGAGAAAAAATACAACTTTTAAGCACCTGAACCTCGCTGCCAGCATTCCATTAATTGTCTGCACAATGGGGAGAGCCTTCGGAGATTTTTCAATTTCAAAAAATGAGGAGCATGCATTCAGTCGTGCTCATGTTATACCGGCACTTAAATCCTACAGAGCTCACATAAAAAAGGACTCAAGGTTGCATCCGATTGAAAGCCTCCAACTACAGCCACTTCAGAAATCCACTTAGCAAGCGGGGGGTTAGAACATCTAATTCAAACAGTCGCCCTGTTAAAACGGTTGCACCAATGTCTTTTAAAAAATACACACAAAAACACACACACACTCTCAGGAATGCACTTTTCTTCTGTGTTTGCCTGGCTCCATTGTAAGAAACATGAACCTGGCACATAGAGAGATAGCAAGACACAAAGAATTAATCTTGCCAGACCTCAGCCAAGTGGCGAGGGTAAATGCTTGAGTGCACGTGGAATATTGACCTTTGCTTTGACAGTGTCACAAAGAGAGCTTTATGGGTGCGACAAAGAAAGGGTATGTAGCGTCTGTAATAACATGACAACCTGAATGTCACGACACTGTTCATCAGCTACAGAATACTGAGTAAAGAGAACGTCTACAAATGTAAAAACATCCAAAAGAATGATTATGTGTTTGGTTTGATTCAAAAGAATAGACACAACAGTTGAAAACTTTCAGACAATTAAATAAAAGCAAGAAGGCAACATAAGATGATAGAGAATGTTTGATAGACTACATGTCACTAAATTTACTGTGTTGAACTTTAACATCTGAACAACCTCCACCACAGCAAGATCCGGACAAGTGACTACATGTCTTCAAACGTCCATGTGCTCATATTAATTGGACTACTCAGCCTGCTTCTGTTCATTTCTAAGAAACTGTTGTGTTGTTACAGGAACTAGAAGGACGTTCAGACAGCACATACCTTTGCCAAGGCCAACACCCAGTCTTGCAATGTTCAGAAAAGTGAAAAAAATACATTTTCCGCTCAACCTGTTAAGTCCCACCTCTCCGCATATAACATTTTTTGAGTAGTGCTAATGCCAGAGGGGAAATGACAATGAAAACATAACCTCCTTGTTGGGGTCTTAAAGTTATAGTGTGTATAATTTTGTGATATGTAGTGTTGAAATTGCATGTTGCAGCTGAACACCCCTCACCTCACCCAAACTGTGGTAGCCTTTAATTGTCTTAAAAACTCATAAGGTATATAGTTTGTCCAGTCTGGACTAAACATGGCGGCCTCCGTAGAGAGAACCCCCGTGATGTAAATATAAAATAT